CCTTGCCTTGACCTTTGCTTCCTTGAAGGGTGGATCCAAAACACCAAAATGCTCTCACAAAGCATTCCAAGCTCCAAGAACACTCAAAGAAGATTAGGGTTTTGTGAAAACTGTCTAAGGGTGAGAAGGAGGCTGGCCCTTGAGGGTATAATATTCTTTATATAGTGGCATACCCTAAAAATTAGGGTTTAAGGACTCTGAGCGTACGTTGGGCGTACTCTTCGTACGTTGGGTGTACGTCTCCAACACCCGCGACCACTTATCCCATCTACGTTGGGCGTACTCTTGTGTTGGCCACCTTGCATGCATGGGATCTCCTTGCCACTTTTCTCTACTAAGGACCAATAATGCCAATATCTTCAAAGTACTATAACTTCTTCATTCTAAGTCCGTTTCCTACGAACTTCATATCCACGAAAAGGTGGTGAGAAACCCTACGCTCCCAACTCCACACCCGAGCCCGACAACCTTCCGAATAAGACCCGAGACCCATAAAAGGCCGAATCGACAGATTATGCTTATACCCTTGGCCTCCGAAGTTGTAACCGAGCACCTTCTAAACCAGGTGTTACATGTAGTGTGAGAATGGGCACATAGCATGCTCCCCGTGTTGCACAAAAATCGAACCTCAAGTGTCTTTTTTTGCGATGGAGACGTCCAATGGCACTGGTGACTAGAAAATTTTATCATCTCATCTCTCAATTGCAATAGTTAGAAGTTTGATTCATGCTCCAAATATAATAATCGTTAGGTAACTCTTATCATCTGTTTTCTTGAATTGTTATTCATGGCTTCGAGAGTCATTATGGTTTGAAATGGATGGAAGTTGCTAATAAATTGAGAGGATAAAAATATGTTCATATTTTTTATTCATGTCTTCCGATCATGGTTTTGGTTAATTATTTATACGTTGATAATAAATTCTGCTAGAATTTTACTGTTTTATTCTAATAAAATTTTAGTATTTATATGTTGATAATGCATTCTAATAGGATTTTACTGTTGCATTCTAATAGAATTTTACTATTTATATGTTGGAAGAATTTTAGTTGATAATTGTGCATTACCAAGAGATTTGATCTCAATTTACTTTTATTTTTTATTTTAAATTTGCAAAGATCGTTTATTTATATAAATGCATTCTGTTAGAATGTCATTGAGAATGTTTTGTTAACAACAAGTATATTTGTTTAACGAGTAATACTAACGAGTAATGTATCTTATTCTTTCAGAATTGTATGGAGAAGAAATTCAAAATTGATCATACAAAAGAAATATTTGGAATCAAGTTCAACAACAAGTATATATGCGAAGATCAAGTGGATATTCTGTTAGAATATGTTAGAATATGTATAACTATATTAAAATGTATAAGGATATTAGTCTGTAAGAATATGTATGAATTTGTATTTAATTTCAGATGTATATTAAAAATTAAATCATAGACCCAACTTGGATGTATATGAATAATATCTAGAATTCTTAAATCAGGTTAATTATCAAAAATATCTGCATTGGAAATAGATTTTGCAAGAATAAAATTGAAAATATATTTACTAGTTTATGATTGGCATTCTGTCATTATGACAAAATAAAATCGGATTTTTAAATTTGAATTAATTTAAAATATTCAGATTTTTAAAAATAAAGGAATTAATTGTCCCTAAAAATCTGAAAATTTCCTTTTTTAATATAGGTTAATTGACTAAAATGCCCTTATGCAGAAATTTGTGTGATTACATGGTACATGTTACCTTATTGTAATATCATAGACCCTCAGATCAAGACTTTTGATTCTATTCCATCCGGTGGTCCAGATCTGTGCATTCTGGTACACAATAGTTATTAAAAACATAATAACCTAAGTCTATATATATATATATATATATATATATATATATATATATATATATATATTATATAATCTATATATATATATTGTTTATTTATTTGACATACCTTTTTACACACAATGTCATATTCAAGATTGATAACGACCTTATGCTATCTCTTTATGTTTTGAAATATTTGGGTCTATAAAAGAGATTTTAGGATGTTTTGAAGAAGAAAAAAAACATCTCGATGCTTTGTTTCTTTTTTAAAAATAATATAATGTTTTAATATGTATTTAAGTTTTTCATTGAATATAAATCAATAAAATATGTTTGTTTATGTACTGTTAGTAAACCGGTTTTTAAGATCAATACATTTGTGTTCGTGTTCATACAGACCTGTTACCTAGTTAAACCCTAACTTAAGAACTTGCTACTACAACAATTAACTTAGATTTGGTGAATTTGAATATGTTAATGCATCTAGAAATTAATATACAAGTCATTATAGCATTTGTACAAATCATACTATCTAATGAACAACTCAATTGTGAATCCATAAATGAACCTCATAATAACTTGATGAATTCCACAACTAGACTATGATTTCGAACATTAAATTGAGCTTAAATTCATCTTAATTTCCTATAAATATAAAACACCATGGATTCACCATTGAAGAGGCTTCAAGGCTTCAAAATCTCTCCAAACTCCAAAACAAACCATAATAAAGGAGATTTACATGAAGTTTGAGAGTTAGAAGCTAAAAATAACATTAAAAACTTAACAAAATCACCATCCTACAAACAACTTCAGGTTTTGTGACTACACCAAACCCTAGTTCGAAATTAAGATTAGAAAAAGGCTAGGATTTTTACCTCCAATGTTTTTAAGTAAAGATTCAAGCTCAATGCTCCTCAAATCTCCCTTTAATTGCCTCTATTATATCTCAAATCTCCATCCTCCATCCTCCGAACACTTCAAACTCGTCTCTTTCCAAATGGGGAGAAGAGAACTAATTTATGTCCAATTTTTTAGTGATTTGTCAACTATGGTCTCTCTAGTACCTTCTTTATTATTTGGCGCACCTTTAGACATACACCCCGTTCATGAGTTCAACTTAACGAGAGAAGAGAAAAGAAATGGGTGGAAGTGAGAAAAAAGTAAAAGAAATTGGTGTTTCCAAGTTTCAATAAAGGAAGGAAATGGAAGGATCACTTTCCCTCCTAACTTTTCTTCCGATTTGGAAGGATTTGGAGAAAAAGAACAAAATATTTAGGTTGCGTTTAGTTACGGAAAAACAGTTTTCATTTTCTATTTTTCGTTTTCCCTTTGCAGTTTTCATTTTCCGTTTTTATTTTTCATTGAAAAATTTAGAAAACGCGTTTAGTTTAAAACTTATTCATTTTTCATTTTCAGTTTAGAAAATTAGAAAACGTGTTTAGATGTGTATTTTTCTATTGGTTTTCATTTTTAGAAAACAGTTGCGGTGGTAGGGTGGGGTGGGGGCAGCGGTGGTGGTGATGACAGGCGGTGGTGGTGGCGACAATCGTGGCAGTGGTGGTGATGGCGGTGGCGGCGGCGGTGGTGGTGGTGGTACTGATGGGGTAGTGGTGGTGGTGATGGTAGGTCGGTGATTGTGGTAGTGATGTTGGGTGGGTAGGTGTGTGTGTGGGGGGTGTGGGTGTGTGGGTGGGTGTGGGTGTGGGTTTTTGGGGGTGGGGGTGGGTTTGTGTGTGTGTGTGTTTGTGGGGGTGGGGTAGGTGTGGGTTTGTGTGTGTGTGTGTGGTGTGTGTTTGTGGGGGATTGGGTGGGGGGTGGGGATGGGTGTGTGGTGTGTGTTGCGCTTTGGGGGTAGGGTGGGTGTTTGTTTATGTGTGTGTGTGTGTGTTTGTGGGGGTGGGGGTTGCTTTATGTTTTGTGGTGTGGTGTTGTGTTTGTGGGTGGGTGTGTGTGTGGGGGGGGGGGGTGGTGGGTGGGTGGGGGGTGGGTTATGGGTGGGGGTTGGAGTAGGGTGTTTATACATTTAACACACTTTCAAAACTTTATTTTCTTTTCTTTTCTTTTCTTTGCTACGACTCGGGAATAGGGTGTTTATACATTTAACACACTTTCAAAACTTTAACTATGGCCTCATGTCTTAAAAGTTATTAACATTTCTAGTCTCAATATGTCAAAACATGGTAAAACCCAAGTTTTACATTTTTGTCAATTTTAACCTCTTATAAATTTCTACAAATGACGTATTTAACTTATGAATTCCAACTTAAACCACTAAATATCACTAAATATGAACTAACAACAGTTAAATCCAAAAACTTACGTCGAACTCAAATTCAAAGGTTTTGGTAAAAATAGACCCTCTATCTCAAGTCTTCTTTTAACCTCATATTTGGTCTTCTAAACATCTTGGTAATTTTTAACATTCCCATAAACAAAATTGTTTACTTCCACATTTTATTTTTCATATATTAATATATATGGTATGCCCAATCTCCATGACTCTCTATCAAAGCTTCATTGTATGACTAAGTAGTTCAATACCTATAGTTGTTGCAACTTTGGGCATTGTGTTTGTTCTTATATATCGGTATCACAGTCTTATATATCTACTCTTCAAACATCTTGGCCTACTTTAAGCTAATGTTGCTTTTCAGCTATTACGCTCCTTCCTTTCATAGTCATAGCAGCATAGTGATATGAACTTGGTATGAGCCAATGACGTCAAGATGATGTTTAAAGAGATTTAACATAAAAAAAAAAATAATAATTCATTATTTGAGAGACACGAACCAAAAGATGATGAATATACATGATTGTTGACTTCCAACCCCAACCCATTGCCATTTCCCTATTTAATTTGAATTATATTTTTTTAACATGAACTCCAAGTTATTACTCGAAAACATAATCATCAAAATTTGTCCAAAATATTAAAAACAATAACCTAAACATAATAATAAATATCAGCCTAATTAATTAAAAAATAAGTAAGTTTGATAGCCAAGACTTGTCTAGTTAACACAGACGGCCTTTGAGAACTTAAATGAAATCATCATCAACCAACGAGATTGCAAGTCAACACATGTAATTGGAAAATATAGGATTACAGATACAATAATCCGAGTTGAATTTCTTTCAGATCGTCTACATGATATATAATCCATTGTAGCGAATTTATTTATTATCGAATATCATATCATCATATACTCTCAGATGACAATTATTATAGCCAAAGGCATTAAGAAGTCAAGGCTTCTTTTTATAAGTAAAATAAAGACAGCTTTCAGATACCCATGAAAAGGTGATGCACAGATTTATCCTCAATCCTCACGCTTTGTAATTCGTTTCCAGCTCCAATAAGTTTTAGCGGTTCCACAGAGACAAATGGGATCAGGATCAGGATCCGGATCCGGGTCAGCACCTCTTCCATTACGTAACTTTTCTCCAACAGCTGTCATAATAACAAATATTGCTAGGTAAGTTTAAAAAGTTTTAAGGGCTGTTTGATAACAACCTCTGAATGAAACCATTCAGATAATCAGGATACAGTCTTTGAACAGTTAAGAACCCTACCTTCTGAGAACCATTAAGAGATATTTTTCAAAAACGCATACCTCAATGCGAGTTCCGTGAACAAGAAGAATGTCAACACATGCGAGAACTCGCGCCCGGTGCAGGTGCGTTACAGGGTTCCCCTGCACCGGCAAGTAGAGGATAATTGATTGCTATTCAGAATCTTCGTATAATTCATCATCTGAGAGCTCATCGAATGAGCGAATGTCCAATTGGTAGCGTAAAATTCCCCCAATTCCACCAAACCCTCTGCAAAATTGTGATCCTTCTTGCGATTTATTTGTCACAAATTCAAGTGTGCAACCGAATTTTCTATATTCATTAGCAAACCACTCGAGTAAAGACATCTTGTCTTGAACTTCTAATTCGACATTCGTGGTTGCATCACGGAAGTTTTTTTGATTACTCTCCTGCTCTTTGTTGAAATGCTTTATCATTACTTCACCTGTTGTGGTATTCTTGAGAGTATACCTGTTGATATCAAGATTCTCCCAAACGATGAGAATATCAACAGCACCCATCTCAAGGGTCTTCAAAGTATCATCCACCCCAAACACATACTTCCCAGTATCCTGACTAATCTCCTCAAAATACTTCCCAATCAACCGTTTCTCCTGAATAAACTTAACATTCGCAAGAATCTCAGCAGACAACTCAATCGCTTGATTGAACCCGTTTTCGCCTCCATAAGAAACATCCACAACATTCAATATCTTTGCTTGAAGCCGCGGGTCAAACATATCCGATTGACTAAGCTCCGTTTTGAAGTCCGCGGATCCCGCAAGTATCAGCCCGGAAACATTCGGTTGACTAGTCGAAGGATTTATATAAAACTGCGTCGCCAGCTCAGCAGTTTTCCTCACATAGTTATGTCGTTTCTCCATTCGTAATCGAGCGAATCTCAACGCCGATTGACCTCCTCTCCCGTGTTTTTTGGGTAAATCGACGCTGAATTTGTGGAGCACTTCGCGTGTATTCCCGCTTAAAGTCCCGAAGAGTGTTCCGTTTCCATCCATGACGATGAATCCGAATTTGTCATCGGATTCTAGAAGTTCGTTTAGGGCTTCGGTGTGGAATTTGTTATCGCAGAGATATAAGGAAGCGTTGATAGGGCGGAAGGGTTCGAAATCGATGGTGACTTTTTTTTCTTTTCCGTCGTCGGTGACGATGGTTCCGGTGTAGAGAACGAGGCCGTTTGGAGGAACTTTGTTGTAGAGTTTGAGGCGTTGCTGGGCGGAGGTGATTGCGCCTAAAACGGATTGACGATTTACGCGGCTTTTGATGTTGGAAGCTGTTCCGAATTCGTCTCCGAGCATTTTTGTGACGCGAGAGACTTGGTCACGTGGTGGCATGATGAGAGAAATCATGCTTGTTCCATTGCCACGTGCTGCTTCCAGTGCTTTGATGAGTTTCTTGATTTTCCATATTTCGATGTTTTTGTCGGTGTCGTGAGTGTCCGCCATTGTTGGGTGAGTGAGAGTCTGTTGTAGTTGTAAGAAAACTACCTGAAAAATAGTTAATTTATGGGTTAGATGCAAGAATGGCAATGTACTTTCATTGATTTGCTACTTCAATTTTTTGCATTTTGAAAAATCAATTCAAATCTCGAGTTCTTGAAGATGAAGAATATGAAGGAACTCGGACAACTAACAAGGGCAAAATGGCCATTTTACATAGATTTGAAACCATAAGGGATTATTTGTGTTGTTTTAATTGTAGGGTTAAATGCAAGAAATATCAGAGTACTTTCTTTTCTTATAATATCATCCTGACTTAAATTTTTTCCTATTTATGAACACACTGTACTTTGAAAATCTATATAATTATAGTAATGACATCCAAATATAAAGCAATTTTCATTGCTATAATAAGAAACAAACTGAAAATACAATGCTATAAATGTGTAAATTTTGCAAAGTAGAGTACCTTAATAAGAAAAAGATTGGAAGTGCAATGCTATAATAGAAACAAATGAAAACAGGACAATATAATACACTAATAAATGAAAGCACATTGATACTTCTTGCATTTTATAATACAAGAATGGTGTATGCCTAAGTTCCCATCAAACTAAAAGTATCCTTAACTACATTCTTAACAAATTTCCTGCTTCCTTATCAACACTATATATATGTTCCTCTTATTTTGGCTTAATCTAAAGCTTTATACATAGTAATCCCCAATTTTGCATTAACACATTGTGGTCTCATTAATCAACAGTATAATGCAATACAATTGACAAAAAGATATAGCAAAAAGGACAGAACTAAAATATCAGATGATACATGAAGTATCCAAAATTTCAATAGTTCATAAAGCTTAATCTACAAAAGATTCTTCATTAGGCCATGTTTTAACGATTATAGAGAATATATTTCACTCAAAATTAAACCCCACGAAATTATTTGCTAACCATATTAGGAAGAGAAACTGAACTTTTCAAACGTGTACTACCAAAACCAGGATTTTTTTACCATTTTGATACACATCATAAATAAACATGCTATGTCTTCATATGACTTCTGGTTGTTAAATGATTTACCTCTTGTCGTTCTGGTTGTGAGGAAAAGTTAAGAATCACATTAAACAACCAATTTAAGGGGGTGTTTGGATGTGCTGTAAAAAATTTGCAACTTGAATCACAATGATCAGTTTTATGTGTTCTGTAAAACTGATTTTGGGTTTTAGGACAAAAATAATTATTTGGAGAAGAAATTGGTTATGGAGGTCTCAACTTTAATCAACTCATTATTGATTTTGATTCATGAAAAGGCAAAGATCACTTTGAAATCGCACATCCAAACAACCCTAAAAAGAGTAGTTTTATATCAATTTAAACTTTTGAAAGAACTAGGTTGAATTTCCGGGATCAAAGTTTTTTTCTGACCTACGAACTAACGCCAGAAAAACTAAACCTCTAAAAATCGCAAGAAAAACATCAAAAAAACAGATCTCACAAAATTTTGAACCAAAATTAAAAACATGTAGCGCATACTCGATTGTGTTGTTTTCCTCCCAATTACTGGTTTATACATCAAAATTAGAACAAAAATAATAAGATTACGTTCATGCAGACCAACCTGATCAGCAAATTACAGGAACAGCATACACTACACATTCGGAATGACATAAATCTAGCAATACGATCCACATATAATAAAAATTGCTTACGATCGAAGCTAAAATAACAAAAAAAAATTGATTAACAGAATGATCAAATTCAGTTTTGATAGCGTCGATCACCTGAAGGAGAATTTGCAACGATGATTTTTGCTTTTAGATGTCTGAAGGAGGGCGAAATGGATTTATACTCGTTGTAGGTCGATTGTTCGTACAATCGGAATCCCAGATCATCACGACTCTTGATGGATGTTCGAAAATCCATAAATAACCTTGGATTCGGGTTTGATATAAACGTGTCACAAGAATGTAGAACTACAGAAAAATAAATATGCCTGTTTAAGTTGGTATGTCCTTTATAAAGTATTGATGGACAGTTATCGTGTATTATTAATTGCCTAATTATATTAGTTTTTTTTTAATCTAAGTAAAAGTTAAAAGAATTTTTTATTTTTATATATAAATTTCACAAACTATGTATTATTTACTAAGTATAAGACCCATGTATTATATCGTTAATTAAAAAAAATTAAATATAAAGGTCTAAATTTTTAAGAACTTTAGATATATAAAAAAATAAGAAAAATAATGAATTATTAAAATTGATTTTTTTTTATATTTTAAATTAAATAAATAAACAAAAATAAACTAATGAGCTTTAATTTGAAAATTTTAAAATAAGAAGGTAAGTCCATTAATAAAATTGATATTCATTTATTACCACATTTATTGTAATTATTACATTAAAGTATTATGTAGAATTTATTAAAATAGAAAACCCATTAAATGATATGTGGAAAAGAAATTAATTCAAAATAACCACAAAATGACATTTGACAAATTGAATAAGAGTGTGACATGTGACAAAAAAATATTCATTTATTATATTAGATTTAAAAAAAATTAAATACGAAGGTCTAAATATTAAAAAGTTTAAATTTATTAGAATATAAAAAAGATATTGAATTGTTAAAGTTAAAGTGTTTTCTTTTAAATTTAAATAAATAATTCAAATAAATAAACAGAGAAGTTAAAAGGGATTTAACTTAGGAATTTTAAAATTAGAAGATAAGTCTATTAATTAAATTGATATTCATTTATTATTATATTTATTGTAATTATTACATTTAAATATTATATAAAATTTAATAAAATAGAAAAAAAACTATAAAATGATATTTTGAAAAAATAATAATTTTAAATAACCATCAAATGACATGTGGCAAAATGAATGAGAGTATGATATATGGTAAAAAGATTTTTATTTATTATAATATATATATATATATATATATATATATATATATATATATATATTTCATTTTATGGTGAAAACTTTCTCAAAAAAAAACTTTAAAAAAATGTTTTTATATCATTTAAAACTTATTTTATTTGCTACGGAAATAATCTTTTGAAAAATCTTAGGACAAAAAATTAAAAAAAATGTTTTATGTTTTTTTTGTTGTTGTAAGAATTTTCAAAGGCCTAAAAAATGTTTTTTTATAAAATTTTCAATATTTTACAGATAATTTCATATGTCAAACTTACAAAGTTCTTTATTCTTTTTTCCTATTTTCACATGTCAAAACTAAAATATCAAGATTTATTTGCTATGAAATTGTCTTTGAGAAACTTACAATGAAAACCTTTATTTTGTAGAATTTTATATCGAGAAAATACACTTTACGAAAATGTTGTTTCAAATGACAATTTTCTATGTTGAGATGAGTGTGTTGTTCATTTTCCACTTGAATCCTACACAAACTGACTTAATCAACTCCTTTGGATTAAAAGCACGAATAACTTTGCATTACGGTATAGATTACTCAAGTCAACCCTATCAAAAAGACCATCTTGACCATAAAGGGCTTTTATAACACGCACGATCAAAAAATCGTCATATACAACAAAACTCTATTAAAGGAATATGGGTGGTCATGGTGTGGGTCGGTCTGACTCGGTTAATCTGGCTCTTCTTGCTAAGTGGTGGTGGCGTCTTAAAAAATGAGGCAACTCGTTTTGGTGTTCTTGTATTAAGTCTATTCATAATCTTAGCCTTATAGATGGAAAACCCCTTGCCAGGGACGAAGCTTATGTAGGGCCAGGAGGGGCTGTGGCCCCTCTGTTTTTTTTTCATAACTAACCCTTAAGTATTTAAATTTTTACACATTAAGCCTAAAACTAGAAATTTTGACTTTGGCCCTCCCTATTCCTCAATTTTTATACATATTTTATTTTCGGCCCCTCCAAATCAACACTTCAAGCTCCGTCAATGCCCCTTGCGAAGCGTTCTTTGAAAGGCGTTTGGTTAAGCATTGCTAATATTGAAGGCGAATTATTGGAAAATAGTATTTATCTTAATAACATGTTTATACGGGTGGTTGGTACCGGTGATAATACTTTCTTTTGGAAGGATAAATGGTGTGGTGATGTCCCTTTAAAAGATGTATGTCCAAACTTATATGCGGTGGAGAATAGAAAAAATTGTTTTGTTATTTATAAGGTCGTTTTTGATAATGGGGTGGTGACACATTGGAGATAGGAGTGGATGAGACAATTAAGAAGGGGAAGAGAGACAGATCAGCTTTTGTTAATCACAAACATTTTAACTGACTTTCATTTCAATCAGGGGTGAAATAGTTGGAAATGGATTGGAGATTCTAACGGGGTTTTTTCGGTCAAAAATTTGAGATATGTGATTGATATGTGGATGGTGATACTAAGAGTAAGTTTGTTTGGGTGAAGTGGATACCATTAAAAATTAACTGCTTTGTTTGGAGGTTGTTACAAGACAGGATTCCAACTCTTTGTAATTTGGAGAAACACGAGATAAATATTTCATCCATTCTCTGCCCTTTATGTAATGGCTCAAATGAGACTATGGAGCATTTATTCTTTTCTTGTGCTTATGCAATGGATGTTTGGAGGTGGCTTATTGGATGTTCAGGTATTTGGAAAGACTTGTCGTCTTCTTGCTTAGATCTAGTAGTGAAGCTCAATTCGTTCAATGCGGGAAATAAATTGAAGAAGGTGTTCTTGTCGCTTGTTTACTTCACTCTTTGGATGCTTTAGAAGGCTAGAAATGAGGCGGTCTTTTGAAAAGAAAGGCGAGATGTTTTGAATGTGGCGGATGATATTAGTATTAATATTTTTTCTTGGATTAAATGTAGATCCAAATTTTCTAAAATTGATTGGTTTGCTTGGTGTATGTCTCCTATTTCAAACTTTTCATGTAACATGGCTTGAGCTTCTCGCTTAAGTCTTTTTGTTTTCTAATGCTATTTTTTGCTCGCCGTTCAAAAAAAAAATAGGCTACCCACTCCAATACCATCATTGATCAAAAGACCGCCATCTCCATTTGTAATTACTTTCGCAAGCTCATTCAGATTACCATTTTCCCAATTTTTTTCATAGAGTTCTCTTGATGCTTGTTGCTTAAACAATTGTATCTAATCGACCAGAGACCGTCATACTCTTTAGTTTCAAGTTTTTTTTTTCGTTTACGACATTACATGTTAAAAGAAAATAGGGAGCATGGCCCACCCAAGCCCCTTCATAGTTCCCCTGCGGATATATTTCAAAATATCATTTTTTATAACAGCAATAAATGATTGGAAAATTTTGTCAAAATGGTTTTAGTGGAAGTACATAGCTTGAAACATGTTTGATGTTCATTGGACCACAACAAGGACTAAGTTTTTCTGAGATAGGATAATTCATCACAGGATTGGACTAAGTTGTCATTGACATCGGTTTCAACTCCAATCCTATATGCCAAACGCGATACAAGTTGCATGCATATGAGACAGAAACAAACTAACATATGATACAACTTGGATTAGTGAAGACACTTAGGGTGCGTTTAGTTGCGGAAAAATGGGCCGTTTTCCGGAAAAATTTTCCAAGAAAAATGAGAATTTTGAAAACGCGTTTAGTTCGTCTATTTTTCTAAATTTTTCACGGAAAATGAAAATTTTCCGTTTTATAAAATTACAAAGAAGTTGGAAAGAAACCAATGATTATGTTTTCCACATTTTTTAATTCCAAAATTTTTCTAAAATATAAACACACCCGCACTCCCATCTCTCGACTACCTACCCCCATCTCTACACCTCCAACCCACCACACCCCTGACCTACCCACACTCACCCACGCCCAAACCCACCCCTACAAACACACACACAAACACACACCTACCCCAACCTCCACCCATAACCCCCCCCCCCCCCCCCCAACACACACACACACACCCACCCACAAACACACACACACACACACACAAACACAAAGCCACCCCCACCCCCACAAATAGACACACACACACACACACACACACATAAACAAACACCCACCCCCTACCCCCAAACACACACATACACACTCATCCCCACCCCCACCCAATCCCCACAAACACACACACACAAACCCACACCTACCCCACCCCCACAAGCGCACACACACAAACCCACCCCCATCCCCAAAAACACACGCACACACACACCCACACCTACACCCACCCACACACTCACCCCCACCCCCACAAACACACACACACACACAAACACACCTACCCACCCAACAACACTACTACAATCACCGACCTACCATCACCATCACCACCACCATTACCCCATCAGCACCACCACCACCCCATCAGCACCACCGCCATCACCACCACTACCACGATTGCCGACACCACCACCGCCGCCGACCCCACCCCCACCCTACCACCGCAACTGTTTTCTAAAAATGAAAACCAATAGAAAAATACACATCTAAACACTTTTTCTAATTTTCTAAACTAAAAATAAAAAATGAATAAGTTTTAACTAAAACGCGTTTTCTAAATTTTCCAATGAAAACCGGAAACGGAAAACGAAATATGAAAAGGGAAAACGAAAAACAAAAAATGAAAACTGTTTTTCCGTAACTAAACGCAACCTTAGATTTCAAAGAAGAAAAAAGGAAAAACAAGTGAATATTAGACGATAGCAACCTACAACCAATCAGCAAGATTTTTTTTCAAGGTATACAACTTTCAAAGCTAATAACCGAAACCCAAAAGAAACTATGAATATACACGGTATCAGCTTTCAAGAACAGCTAGAAAACCTACAATGAATTTACATATTCATCGACATCATCAACCCCGAAAAAACAGGAAACAATTTAACGGATGGGAGATGATGTGGCGAAAACCCGACAAATCGAATTAGGAAAATTCATTTACATACGATGATGTTTCTACATGTCACTGTGCCAAGTCATCACTTGCGACACCTACACTTGATTTATCAGCCAATCGAACATTATATTGTTGATAAACTCTCGCACGGTTCTCGGCCCACCATTGCTCCGCTTGTTTCTCGCTAAATCGCTTTCGACTGCATTTTTAAACGGTTCAAGACAGTCATAATATTATTTTTCATTGAGGGTATTTTCGACTTTTTACATAATAGTACTGCGTTTGCCATGCATTGGACCGAGACTAAAACCGATGCCAATAAGAAAAAAAGTACAATTGTTTTTTTGTCTCATCCAAAAAGGTGGGACAAGGACTCGCTCTCAATATCTCGTATGTGGAAAAAGACGTAAATACCCTCCTCATCCGCATCATTGATGATAGCCCTAGAAAACTTGTCTGGTCAGGTACAGTCCAGTCCCGTGTAACGGGACCGGACTAGATGGAACTGGAAATGCTTTCTAGGGCTATTTTCAATGATGAGGATGAGAAGGGCAATTACGTCTTTTTCCACATACGAGATATCGAAAGCGAGTCCTTGTCCCACCTTTTTGGATGAGACAAAAAAAATTGTAATTTTTTTTCTCATTGGCATTGGTTTCAATCTCAGTCTAATGCATGCCAAACGCAGTATAACTGGAAATCATTTTTCCAAAAAGGGTAAAATACAGAAAAACACAACATATTTTCACTGAAAAAAAATGGAAAGGTAAAATAGCATACCTGAAGCGGACTCGTTTAAGATCTTTAATACCTCCAGGCAAGGAGGTAAGTGTAATATAAACACCAGGTTCATCTTGCTCAACCCATTCATCATCACTTCTGCCACCATTTCTTGCTGCTGTTGCTTCTGAAACAGCTGTTTTGTTTATGATGGAACTTGATCCATTTAATACCAACTGAGTGTTTTTATATGCTGGTGTTTGAGTTTGACCATTAAGCTGGTCAACTGAGGAGTTTATTAACACATCACTGAAAGAAATATTGGATCCAAAAGAAGTGAAGGAAGGAGATCTTATGTCTCTTGTAGTTCCTACTGGTAGCCTTTCTGCCATGTCTTTCAGCTATTTTAACATACCAAAATAGAAAACAGAAAATATCAGTTGAAAAGTCCAACAACGTAAACTTAATAAGGGGTAAATTAAGAAAATAGCAATGTAGGTTTGTTTATTTATGAAAAGTATTGTCCTTTTTTTTTTCTTCCTATTATATCATTGTACTTTGAAAAACCTACCCAATTATAGCAGTGAAAATTGCTTTATATGGGATCACATTGCTATAATTGGGAAGATTTTTCAAAGTACAATGCTATAATAGGAAGAAATGCAAGTATGATGCTATAATAAACAAATCAATGAAAGTACATTGCTATTTCGTGCATTAAATCCCAAGAAAATTCATTAAACAAACAGGAATTGGAAATTAAAAGAGTTTAATAAGATTCATCTTACTTGTGCTGTAAGTGATTTGATGACTTCTTTTGCAGCCTTGCATTTTGAGCTTTCATCCCCTGCAATTGCTATTGCCTCCTTCAGCTGTTTAGAAGTTCTTTCCAGCTCAACCTCTTGAAGTTTGGCTTTTCGGGTTAGACTTTCAACCTGATATCACCAAATTGAATATAACATCCAAGAAAATATCTTTTCTTTTCTTATTTCCATTTATCTGTTCATCTTTCATAACGTTTTATGCGAAACTTGTGCATTTCCATGGCTTTTTACAAATTCATATAAAAGGAAGAATTAAAATGCTATGTAAATGTTGCACTAAGTGGATGAGTGAGTACATATAAAAAAGCAAAACAAGTAATATACACATACCTGTGCTCTTAGTTTAGTTACTTCTTGATTGAGGCTATCATTTGTCCTTTTAGCATCATCCACAATGATCTTTGGTGAAGATAATCCGGCCAAAGTTGGTGTTGGAGTGGCGGACCGAGGTGGGCTGGCCCGCCTTGACACCGGAGAAGTTGCCCGAGACACCATTCTTGAACCAGGGACAGAAGCGGAAAAAAACTTTTTAGAAGACCCAAAAACCGGATTAAAAGATTTAGAAATATTAATCCCTCCCCATTGAGAGCTTCCTGAAGGAATAGGCGAAACACGGCTGCTACTAAATTCTAACTTCTTGTTCCTCTTTGAAGAATAACTTTCCAATGGTTTCATCGCTTCCATAGAAGCAAACCTCGCGAGCCGAGGGCGAGATCGTAATTCTGACCTAGCATCTTTCTCATTTTGCTCATTAGGGTTTATACTCGCTCTTCTCACGGAAGACACTGAAGAGGCATCGGTTTCGATAGCTTTTTTCAATTTATTAACACAATTATCACAAACCCGATACGGTTTATTCGGGTTAGGTGCCATGGATGCCCTTAGTGATTTCTTGCTACTACAAGAATGACAAAAAACAAGCCCACAATTGTAACAATTATGTCGCTTTCTTTTGAAATTAAACGGAAGGCGACACCCAGAACACATAGACTGATCAACTCCAGACACCCATTTATGAAGACATATAGCTGCAGTAAAATTTGTCCCACAAGCAATCCCTTTCACTTGTTTATCTTTCAAAGCTTCAACTAAAGTCGGGTAATTTCTATCATCTGTATCTCCATGACCTAATCGACCATTCGCCCCTTTCCCCCATGTGTAAACCTCCGTCCTCGAAGTCAAAACCGCAACATGATGGGCCCCACAAGCGATTTCCTCCACGAAAGATTTTAAAAGTTTACCTTCAATACAAGCGGGCAGCTTCCCGTCAGCATTCGGGTTCCCGAGCTGCCCGTAAACCGGACTGCCCATCGCGTAAACATGCCCGGAAGTCGTGAGTGCGAGTGTCATGCTATGCCCACACGCCACCTGGCAAAAATTCGGGTCCACAAGAGCAGCAACACAAGTGGGAACTAGTTTAGTTTCTTTATCCCCATGCCCTAATCGACCTTTATCCCCATCACCCCATGTAAAAAGCTTCCCGGAAGAACAATTACTAGAACTCGAATTCCCAACCATAATTTCAACAATAGCAGCAGTATGCCACGCACCACAAGCCGCCCTTACAGTTCTCAACCCTTTTAAGTGACTCAACTTCTTTAGGTTTCAAAACACTTTTCTTATCCCCGTGTCCTAACACCCCGAAAGTCCCGTCTCCAAAAGTAAAAAGTTGACCCGCGGAGGTCACCACCGCAGTATGCCACGGCCCGCAAGAAATGGAGGACACATGGATACCCTCTAATGACCCATTTACCCTTTTCGGAACCCAGTGTGAAACTTCGTTATCGTGTCCGAGTATCCCGAAATGCCCTTCCCCCCATGTGTAGAGGTCACCGGATAAGGTAACTGCACACGTGTGATACTCCCCACATGCCACTAGCTCAATGTTTGTGTTACTAAGGGCATCGATGAGTTTCGGATGTGGGACGTTTGAATCGATTCCATGTCCTAAACGTCCGCCTAATTCTTCGCCCCATGAAAAGATTTCGCCTTGTTTTGTGACTAACGCGGCGTGTCGGCCGCCACACGCAATGTTTTGGACATCGAGGACTACTGCGGATTCTAGAGGTTTGGGTAATAAGGAATCGGTTTTGGTACCGGATTTGTGGGGTCCGCAGACGTCTCCGGTGATTTCGCCCCAGATGAAAACGTCCCCCATGGCATCCCCGTCATCGTGGCCGGAGCCTTGGCTTGAGGAGCTTACGGCACTTGAGAGGCTTACGCGGAAGGCGTCTACACCCATTCGGTGAAATGAGTGTGCATGGTGTCGGACCCACCGGATGATGGTGAATGGAAGGACCCGTTGGAAACGGGAGGGAAGAAGCCTTTGGGTGGGAGTGGGACCTTGTATGGAGCCATATCTGGGAAAGATAATGTCTTTGGAGGGCTTCCGAATGGACTATGAAGACTAAGTTGATCAATGGTTTCCTGAAATGTAACATAATGTGAGGATGGAATGGAATGGAATATGGTCTAATGGAATGGAATGGAATGGGTAATGGTCTAATGGAATGATTGTTAACATTACATTATCATGTTTGGTAGGCTTGTAGGAATGGAATGCATCTTTCATATGAACTTTTAGTGTAGAGTTTAATACTATTCCATGTGGTATTTAATCATCATTATAGAATTTATTATTTACATAAATAAAAGATTAAAGATAATAAAAGCTCATTAAAACCTAAAAAAAAAACTATTATTAAACACTATCATGGGTGAATAAGCAAGGTAATGGAACGAGTCATTACACTCCATGATCATGTTTGTTTAGCTTGTAGGAATAAAACAATTTTCATATGGATTTTTCGTATTGTATGTAAATACAATGTATAGTTTTAACTATACTCTACATGTTAATTATAATTATTGAAGTTTTTATTTACATAAATAAAGAACTAAACATATTAAATTTCATTAGAAACAGAAATAGAAATGTAATCAAAAAAATATTCTCAATTATTTTTAGGGAAAAAAATTTATGAATGATTAAAATCGTAAAATTTCTAAAAAAAAAAAAGATGTCTTAAAAGATTATGTAAATAAAAATGGGTTATATTGCAACTTTTCACAAAAATAAAAACACCGTTTTGCTAAGAAAAGAAAAGGAATGACATCTTTCAAGAATGGTCCATTCCACCAGCCTAGTCAAAAGAAACAGATTTTATTGATTCCAATAGAATACACCATTCCATTCCTTCTGTGATTCCATCATAACAAACATTGCCTAAGCGCTATTTGGATAAAGTGTTATATGGATAAATGATGTTTAGAAAGTATTTGAGAAAAGGAGGAAGAAAATAAATAAGGGCGAGTTTATAAAAGGTTAGGACTTAATAGGGAAAACCTCTCGTTTCCTTGAGTTTTTTCGTTGAGTCTCATTCTTTCTGGATTAAATTAAAAAAGGAACTGTACCTTCTGTGAGCTATTTCCACTACCGAAAGGAGAATGTAAAGGGGAGCTTCTTTGTGTGTATGTCCTGGGACTATTAGCTTCAGATGGGATTTCATCACTCCTTGATTCTGTTCTCCAATTTCTCTGATGCCCACGTGATATTAATGCTTTAAGCCCACTAAACCATACCTCAGCTTCATCCTTGTCTTTACATATCTAATTAGCCAAAATAAAATTGCAAGAATATAAATAGAAACTCACAAAACCTATTGCTAATTGGCATACAAAATGCTAGCAATAGTGCAAAAAGAATCAATAATCAATTGCAAAAAGAGATGAAAATCCTACCAAATCCAGAGATCTATCATTGTATATTAGCGAAAACGATTGGTATTCCTTCTCGGGACGTGGATACCTTTGAAAAATTGGCTAAACAACAAAGTGAAATCATAGTAAATATTCATAATAATGAAAAATATATATAACTTAATAAGGTTATAAAAGATGTTACATGGCATTAGTATGCATTGGAATTTTGGAGCTACTCAAGCTGTATGTTTTATACTTTTGAATCAACAAGAAATTGTCTTTGTTTCCAATTGTGATGCCATTTTTTCTTTCTTGAATGAGTTTTTAAGATATTCTCATCAAATTAGAATAACTAATCTTGTACAAATTAAAATTTGCAATGAAATTACTTACAGTTCGCTGCCCTGATACAATTCTGGTGACATGACTTAGTCGAAGGTGTTTTTCCTCTTTCCCAGAAAACCATATCAGAATAGACTCATCCTGAAATAGCATATAGAAAAAACAGTATCATTGAAACTGCAAACTATTGATTATTACAGTTACAAAGAGATTGGTATTGCCTTTTCATTTAAGACACATGTTCCAGACGTTCACAACAAAAACACATATTGTTCCTTTTGCTTAAAAGATAATAGGAAAGAAAAAAAATCATGATTTTAAGTGCATTTATTCTATCTCCATAAAAGTGGAAGATACTGAAAGAATAAACAATGTATACACAGAATGTGGGCACTTGTGTGACTTTTACTCTAAACTCATTAACGAAATACCAAGTAGAATGCATTAAATCAGCCATAGTAGCTAAGGGAGAAACCTAGCCATACTAGGAAAAAAAAAAGAATTAAGATTTGACAAATGTTGACACAAACATAAAACATATTAAATGGAAACATAATAAAGAAATACATGAACAACACCTATTGGAGACACTTTGTGAAAGATAAAAGTCAAACTTACATTAGCCAACCTGAAGGGACAAAACTTAGGCTTCCCTCTTCTTCCATATTTGAGAAGATAAGCCCCTTTCTTCAGAGCAGTAATGGCCTGTAGTAAATATCACTCAAGACGTTAAGTTAAAGAGAATTCACCACATTTTCTGCTACAAAAAAGTGATTGATAAAACATGCATCTAAGCATCCACCAGAAAGTAAGAGATATATATAGCCTAACAAGAAGTATTGTCACTTGTTAGGGATATGATAGCAGATGGTATTAGAAAATAGAAAAGGTAAAAGTTGACTTTATCAACCATTACCAGAAGTCAATATTTAACCTGACAACTACAACTTTCTTTGTTATTGCTAATAGTCACTCGTTGATCTTACAAGAAAGGTACATGCATTATGCATATTAGGAAGGAAGTTGAGAGCAATAGAAACCTCATACTTCACAGAGTATATTAAGGGAAGGGTATGTTCTACACCATTAATGATTGACTAAATTTTGAAGTTGTCCTGCTAGAATATGTCATCTCTTCATTGATCATTGCTCTAAAATTCGTTATTATCTTCTGTTTTATTAAAAGCATACTATAGTAAACATTGTTCCCTAATTTCAAAAGGTACTCACTTGCATCAAAGCCATTTGACGAAAGCATAGAGAAATGAAAGATACATAAAGTCCATTATTAAGTAGCATACATTACATTCCAGCTTCTTTGCAGTTTGCATTACCCTTGTATTTTCAAAATATGGTCAAATCTTGTGCAGTGAACAATAATTGTTCAAATAGGCGAAAACTCAGCAAGTGATGCAGAGTGAAATGATGCTTATAATTTGTTCATTCTATAACAATAGTGAGGGAAAGTTAAAGCCACACACGATTTGAGATCACATAAACAGCAAGTAATTTACCTGATGTTTCAAGTGTTAACATATGCCTACGCATTTGATTAGCAAACAATCATAACTCTACAATAATATCCGGAAGCTCAGACAATGTTGTAATTGATTTACCTGCTCGATGTCCCTTTCAACTTGCCCACCCGTCCTACTAACATCTGAACTCATCCTCTGTCTACAACAACGATATCAAAAAACCACGCAATCCAGACTTACGTACCAGTCTCTACTGCAATAATCAACCTCATTTTTCTTCTTAAAATGCACAAAAGCTCCGAAGCTCGTTCATCAAATTAATCGCAATCTGTAATAATATCCACGTAGTTCATTGACCAGAAAAAATTCCGAACAAGCAAAAACGATTGAAAAACCTTCCAATTGCCCTAATTGTTCGAATTGAAGGATATGAGTCGTGCTCATATGGTATCAATCTTCAGCTAATTTGAGATGGAATCTTTTTTGCAACTTCGAGGGTTTTGACAGCTCCCTTAGGTCGAGGTGTGTGCGTGATATTGTGTGCTTATGGATGTAATTGAGAGCTCAGATCAGCATAGAAAAAGAGAAGCGAAAACCTAGGAAATGGCTGATTGATCTGGTCACCAGGAGTTAGACCGCAGGAAGAAAGAGAAAGTAGAGGGGAAGAGCCTGGGGGTGGACTTAAAGCAGTGTTAGAAAGGGGGAAAATAGTAGCACTCTTTTAGTCATAATCAAGGTTCAATCCATGGATAATACGGATAAAGTTTTGTTTGATTTTTTTTTTGCTTTTTTTTTTTGGTTCATTAAACCACTTTTTAAGAGAAGCTAAATAAAATGACCACAAGTATTCGTATAAAGGCCCGTTTGATAAACCATTTTTCAGCTCCAAACAGATCTTTCTGGATGAATGGACCGGAAAGACTGTTTGATACGCAAAAAAAATGATTTTTTCCAAGTAAGATATATCTTTCCGGAAAAGCTCCAAAACCATATATTTCTGACTTAATAGGCTGGAAAGACAATTGTACCATAAACTCGTCTCTTTCTTTCTTGGATTATTAATTTATTTTAAATATTTTTTATTGGATTATTATATATTAATAAATATTACTTTTAATATATAATATTTATGTATTAATTAATATTATTTTATTGGATTATTAATTTCTTTTAGATAATTATTTTTTTATTTCCTTTTTATGGATAAATTCTTTTTATTGAATTATTATATATTAATAAATATTATTTATAACTATATAATATTTATATATTAATAAATATTACAATAATGAATTCTTAATTTCTTTTAGTTATTTTTTTAATTCATTTTTATTGGATTATTCATTTTTATAGACACCACCATCATCATCCTAATATATTTTAAAATAATATTCATCTCACCACTATCAGACATAAATCGGGTCAAGATTCACATGTTGAGTTATAAAAAAAGTTAAAATTACTAGAAAGAATAACAACGTAACATCAACTTGAAAAAAATAAACTAAAAACAACTTAATCGACATTCTATTTGGATTTTTAAATGATTATTGTGTAATTTTGATTTTGTATGACAATTTATATGTTTTTATAATTATTCAGCAACTTCATCAATCACAATATAGAACAGCAGGGTAATATTGTTATTTTTTATCATTCAGCATAGTCAATCAGATGTATAATCAAACAGCATGGTTTCTTTCCCAGTCAGAAAACTTTCTCATACAGCACTTTCCCAGACAGAAACTATCAAACGGGACCTTGCTTTAGACTTTTGGACTCGTAAGAAATTAATATTAGCATCTTCTGTATACGAATTTAATAGTAAAGGACCTCACTATATACGTATCGCATGTGTTTGTTATTCGATGATGATTGATATATCATATGCTTAAGAGAATTAGGATTATATTTTGACGGATTATAACTGATTAAAAATGGTGTGTACATTTCAAACATCTAGGAAATCTATAAATTGGTTATTTATGGATTATAATCGGTTATAAATTGTTATTCACTGATATATCATATGCTTAAGAGAATTAGGATTCTAATCGATAGGTTATAATTGATTAAAAATGGTGTGTACATTTCAAACATCAAGGAAATATATAAATTGGTTATATATGGACGTTCTAATTTCAATATACTAACGTTTTCATCTAATGAATCAACTACTTGAATGAAACATAATCAATGTCTTGTCATTAGCATTGAATTGTCTATTAGGCACCCTAGACGTGAATTGCAACGTGTGGTGGACTTCAAAGTTATTGAATTACCTGATTTCGTTGGTGGAACCAATCCAGAAAGATATTTGGATTGGGAAAGGAAGATTGAACGTATGTCTGAATTCAAAGAATTGGACGATGAAAAATGTTGTAAGTATGCAATTCTGAAGTTGAGTGGAGGATCTTCACGTTAGTTTGAAGGGCTAAAAGCCAAGAGAACCCGTGAAGGAAATGAGAAGATCTCTTTTTGGGAGTCCTTGAAACGTAAACTCCGAAAGAGGTATGTGCCAACCAACTATAAGATCACCACCTATAGGAAGATTGTTGATTTGAAGCAAGGGAAGATGAGTGTGGGGGAGTACATCGATGAGTTTGAGAAGTTATCATTGATGATGATATTGAGGAGATAGAAGAGCAAAAGATGTCAGTTTTCTACGTGGCCTGAATTACAACATTTCGAATACGGTGGAACTCTATCCATATGCTGATTTTGAAACACTTTATAGTCTTTGTTTGAAGTTGGAAGCCCAAGTGAAGACAAGGTATGGAGGAAGCTCTAGCTTGGAATCTACCAAAACCAAGCCATGTTCTAAACCTAAAACTAGCATGAGAGCAGCCTCAACACCTGGTCCTATTGGTGCTAATAGTTCCTCAACAGCCCCAAAATTGAATAGTGCAAACAAGGAGACCAGTTTGTCTAAGGTTCGTTGTTTCAAATGTCAAGGTTTTGGGAATTATCAAAATGCTTGTCCAAACAGGAGGGTGGTGACATTAAGAGAGGTTGTTGAAATCCGTGATGAACTGTTGGAAGAAGAATAGACGTTGGGTGGCATTTTCAATGTTGAACATGAATCTGAAGAATAGTATGAGGAAAAGTATGAGGCACTGGTGTATGATACAAATGTAGTACTTAGAACACTACAAACTCAAGTGGTGCATGCAGATTCTGATCAAAAAGACCAACTTTTTCACACAAAGTGTTCGGCCAAAGACAAGTAGTGTAGTTTGATTATTGATGATGGAAGTTGTACCAATGTTTCTTCTAATGAGATGGTTACAAAGTTGGGCTTAGTCACTACAACCCACCCTAAACCATATGCACTTCATTGGTTGGATGATGGTAACAAGGTGAAGGTGACAAAACAAGTTAGAGTTGGTTTAGCCATGGGATCTTATGAAGATGGAGTATTGTGTGATGTTATTCCCATGGATGCTTTTCATATTTTGTTGGGACGTCTTTATCGTTTGGATAGGAATGTGATGCATGGGGGAAGGAGTAATGTGTCACACCCCCAAACCAAGGATGGCGGAAACGTCCGGGGGTAGTGGACTTCATGTATAGTATCACAACAACGAGTATAATAGTGCTCAAAGTAAATACAACCATCATAAATATAATTGAAAAAGTTACACCATAGTATGAGTTTACATGTTTCAAAATCAACTACACTATGATGACAAAATGAAATGTTTGACGATTTAACGTCCCATCCTCAAAAGCTGTTGATTGTCATGTTTCATTGAGTTCCTAAGAATACAAGTAAATTTCGAAAAAGTGTCAACAATTAAGTTGGTGAGTTCATAGGCTTTTGGATGTAGAATTTGAAAAACCTGGTTACTACCAGTATGTATAGTAGTTTTATTATTTGAAATAAAACCGAGTATTGTATCCCGAGTTTGAAAACCCTTGGTTGTAAATGTAATGTATACTTCAAGAAAATCCCATGTTTCCTTATAAAATGTTATGTAGTCTTAAATCTCAAGACTAAATGTATGTGTGTGTTTTGTACTGGTAACGTGTTTGTAATTGTAATGTATACCCAAGAAAAATCCAATATTTTTCCTTATAAAATGTTATGTAGTCTTAAATCCCAATACCGAATGTATGTGTGTTTGTAAGCAGTTACAAAATAGATAAAACCTCTTTTCAAAGTAGAAATTCCCGTAAACTATATATGTCGTTATCTCCCTATGTGAGTTGCTATAACCATACTATAACAGAGATGCCTATTGCGACGTTCTTCAGGCGTCGGAATTGAAATGACACTTATCACCCCCGATCGGCCGATCAGACTGTCTTAGCAGCGTGGGTGTGGGTTGTCAACCCCAATATAGATCTATACACAATTATCACGCTCTCCCTACAAGAGACTCTGGTTATAACTATTTCAGGAATTTTAACCCATACTCTAAGAGTACAACGAAAACGTGTCTCATAATTTACGATAACGAGTTTACGTGTAGTATACGAGTAAAACCCTTTTCTATGGTGGAATTGAAATCCCCTTTTTATGTACAGTATGTTTGAAATGTGAAATCCAAAATCTATACCTATGATAATTTATCATGTAGTAATTGAAAAACTCATTTGCATGGAGGGTAAAACCCTTTTCTGTGTGAGAATTGAATCCTTTTTCTACATGGTATGTTGTATTGTAAAAATCCATAACTATGCTTATTATAGTTTATTGTACTCATTCAAAATGTATGAAAACTCTTATCATGAATGACTAATTTCTGTTTATGATGTTAAACTAACAAGAGATGCATTCAAAATTTAGAATCTTATTATTATACACTTTTCTCAACATGTTACAAAGTGTTGTCAATATAGTAAGCTATGTAAATTGTTTTTAAGTTTTCTACATTGTTTTAGAAAATTCACAGGAAAATCATACGAAGTCGAAAACTAAATCCGTAAACTCTGGGAGTTTAGAAAATGTGTCTAGTTTGTTCATAATTTTTATTATGATTTTTAGAAGTCTCTAACTTGTGTGAAAATGCTCATATTCACGGACTGGTCCGGATTTGTTTCTGAATTGATAGACAGTTTTATAAAAATCACCATAAATTGTACAAAAATCGTATAGAGATGTGCAAGTAGTCATTTGAAAGGTATAAACCTGAACTACTTGTATATAAAACAGTTTTGAAAGATATTAAGTTTAAGATAGTCAAAACAGTCCGTGAATGGGACTCAACGTTTCTGATGAAAGCTGTTGTTTGAGCTTAGTTAAGTTTTTGATGTATTAACTTGTATC